ATCACTGACTGGGGCTTCCACCGATTTAGCTCTGGCTTCCATGAAAATATCCCACCACTGATCATTCACCAAGATTCGGTCTAATATTAGACGCAGGGCGACGTGGAAACTGTTAGACGCAGGGCGGCGTGGAACATGTTGCATCAGCTAGTCGGAAATAATAATATGGCATGGCTGGTCATGGGGGATATGAATGATATTTGTATGAGTCAGAAAAAGGGGAGAATTCTGCACCCACCATGGAGGATGGTGTCCCTTTACCTCGCTCCCATGTCCACTGATACCCCTCAAACGGATGATCTCTCAAACCACTGGAGTGAACCGCCTCTCGGAATTGAACCCTCTCATCCTCCATGGTGGGTGCAGAATTCTCCCCTTTTTTCTGACTCATACAAATATCATTCATATCCCCCATGACCAGCCATGCCATATTATTATTTCCGGCTAGCTGCTGCAACATGTTCCATGCCGCCCTGCGTCTAACAGTTTCCGGGAACACATATATTCCTGTGAATCGCCAAGTTGTCCCTTCTTCGGAACTGCATATTTGACAGTCCACAAAATTTGGATTAGTCTCCAAAATCGTGACATCAAGCTCTTCATTCCATCCCATCATCACCTCCCCCTTGTCCATCCGCATCGACTCCTTCGGCGTTCGCAAACCCTAACGACCGTAGAATCTCTCTTGCACGTTGACACCTTAGTTTCATTTCCATCAGGAAGATGATCGAAGGGCGGTTTTGGTGAATCAACTCCGTTAAACATTGTATAGTTGCTGGATTTCCCAACCCTCTACAATTCCAAGAGATTATACTCATTCGTGCTTCTAAAAACGACAAAATCCTCACCAGTCTTCCAAACGTAAAACCAAAATCCAACAAAGCCGCATCCAACAAATAAAATCTTGATGTCGTAACCGCCGGAATGATCACCACCGGACTAAAACCATGATCGTGCAGAAGCCGAAAACTCTATACAAGTTACAGTTAGACATTCCATTTTTCACTGAAATTACACATTTTCACGTTTAATTCTGTGTTATTTATCCTTTCTACTCTATTGAGGGTGGATTCGGTTCTGCCACTAGACTAGGGATGTTTTTACTTGGATTGTTTTCAGTCTCAGACCAGACTTAAACAGCTCATACCAGATTGTCATAGTTATAAAATGGGTGAAATCCCTAAATAGGAGTGAAAAAGTTTTGAAATTCCAAAATAGGACTATCATGTTTTTTATTCCTCGAATAGGAGTAAATTTTTGCCAAGTTTGGCATTACGGCTTTAAAACATGGCATTTTTTCCAAACTTGGCAGATTACTCCTATTCAGGGAATAAAAAACATGATACTCCTATTTTGGAATTTCAAAACATTTTTGCTCCTATTTAGAGCAATTTCTATTATAAAATACAAAGAGACATACATTTACTAGACTAGTTCAGACCAGTTCAAATTAGACTTTAACAGATCAGACCAGACCGGTAAATTTTAGTCCAAGTAAAAACATCCAAGATCCTTAGAACATGATAGAGAACTAGAACGATTACTTGTTTAAATGGTTTTGGATTGGGCATAGACTCGGTCCGTGGAACATATTACCGAGAATCGGGTCCGAACTGGATATTACGGGTCCCGGTCCGTACTCCGGTTATGGGTGTCCGGATGACTTGGTACTTAATTTTGGTCCTGATTCCTTGATTTTTTATGTAGTTATTTAATATCATAAACAAAGAACTATGTACATTAAAAATTAAATGCAAGTGTATTGTAAAAATTAAATTGACTTTGTACATTTTAAAAAAGATACGTAGTAATAAAAAAATTTGAAATCAATGCAAAATACCTCAAAATTAAGTATATATAACACATACTCTTTGTAACTCCCGCTTGTTATAACTAAATTGTGTATATACACAGTTTGAGTTATTCACACAACAATTTGAAAGGGAAATTATGTATATATACAAAATTTCAGTTATACATAGTCTATATTATAGACTGACCCAAGTTTCTCATCTAGGGAAAGCATGTCCCTTATATTCTCTTGTGGTGGGACGCCTCCCAGTACCTTCAAAATGGTCTTTGTGTATTGGGCTACCCTTTAATATACTCCTTTCGTCTAACTATGATCGTTCCCTTTAATATTAGTATTGATATTGTTCTTATTCTCCTAAGCACTAAGCTTTTGGACATAATGTATTAATTAATGGGGCATAGCACAAAAAATAATATAATATTATGTATTTTATTCTTTTATTATTATTATTATTATTATTATTATTATTGTTATTAATTGTTGTTGTTATGATTATTACTGTTACTACTATTAAAATGGGATATTTATTCTCCTAATCATTTGTCTTATCATAAATAATGATAAACTTTGCTAATTCTCTAAAGAGCACTAGCCCTCCGACAGTTTAAAATGGATTACTTTATTCTCCTAATAATTTGTCTTACCATGAATAGTCCTAGGCTTTGCTAAATCTCTAAAGAGCACTAAAAAAAACTATTCACAATTCATAATTAATTAATAACATAATTTTTTTGATCATATTAACAACATAATTTAGAAAGTAAGAATTATTTATTGTTAATCGAAAGAAAAAAATACAAACAAATCCCTGAATTTCGTAGTTTCAAAGCTAAAAATGGTAAACTACTTGTCTCAAACTTGTCTCTAAACTCCGTAAGTCCGTAACTCACAAACAAGAATCTCATGCCTCTTTAAATAGGAAAAGTCAGCTTCAAGTTGAATTGTCAAATATTTATTGAATTAACAAAACAACTCATTTGATGACTTTCTCTCTTAAAAATCGGAAAACACAAAGGACGCTAACTTAAAAAGTTTCTCTTTTTAAAAAATTGCTATAACTTTTTATAATCTTAGTCATACAAACAAATGTATTGGAATTTATACTTTTTTTATCTTTTGAATGACACAAATATTGTGTGTGTATTTGAAGATACAGCAGTGGAGGGTTTTAGCCACAAAAATTTTCTCAAATATATCAAATTCTAAAATTAAGATGTCATGGTCATATAGTGCAATTTCATGCTTGGTTCAATAAGGATACATTTTATTGATTGGCTGGAAGTGTCAATAGAGAATGTGTGTAACTATTGTTTGTTTTGTTGATAATATTTGAGTTATTTTTAAATAATATGTTTTAGAACTGAACGTCCCCTGATTTTTATTTTCAGCCAATGAATAAAATGTCACCTACTTGCAGTATGAAATTGTGTCATACAATCGTGAAATCTTAATTTTAGAACTTGGATCCACTTAAAAATATAAAGCTTAAAAACATCCACTATTGTATTATTAAATTTCTTTTATATATATGTCATATTGATGTCATATACAAGATATTAAAAAATTATAAATTTTGATATATTTCTATCAAAATTGGAATACAAATGAGAAAGTTGAAGCAATTTATAAAAAAGATAGATTTTTTGAATTGGGGTCCCATCAAACGTGAAACGCTACTTTCAATTCTAGAAGAAAGTTGCCAATTGAATTGGCAAATATTTTTAGGTACATTCTATTATACTCAACTAGTCATAAGGTACCATACCTTAGTCCACATGAATCAATCAGAACGTTGCAATTGAATCATTTAAATAAAAATTAAAAATAATGATGATTTGAACATATCAAATGAATGATAAGTATGATACTCAATTTTTAATTAGGTAATGTAGTTCTCGCCATATTTTTAAGAAAAAAATCCACTTTTGGTCTTATGACTATTATACCAATTCCACATTTAGTCCCTTACTTTCAGATTGTCCACATTTAGTCCGTGACCATTATCCCCTCACCACCCCTCGTCCTTTTGGCCAAAATTCTGGCAAATTTAATGCAGATTTTAGGTATGAAAAACCAAATTTAATGCAAGACTGATATGAAAAATCCAACCTGATGCAAAATTTAATGCAATGACTAATTCTGAGGCTGAGAAGTAGACTAAATTTGCCGGAATTTTGGCCGGAAGACGAGGGGTGGTGAGGGGATAATGGTCACGGACTAAATGTGGACAATCTGAAAGTAAGGGACTAAATATGGAAGTGGTATAATAGTCATGGGACCAAAAGTGGAATTTTTTCTATTTTTAACTAGGGTTCATTCCAACGGTATTTTTGAAATTGAGTTATAGACTCTAATTCAGACTTGGTTTAAAAATATCAGTGGATAAGTATGTACTATTCAAAAATTTAAATAAATTGGCCGCTTTGACTATGAACAGGTGTAGCGTTGACGTGATCATATCTCTGTGTTGTTTTTCACTTGAGGTGTTCATATCTCGTTAAAAACTCTTTTGGAGTTCTATAACTCATATTCAGCCTTCGTTTTCAAAATATTAGAGCATGAGTACCTTCTACATAGAATTTCGAATCGGACTCCCAACTTAGTTAAAATGCAATTAGTAGGAAAGAAAAATACAATAATATCATTTTTCATCGGTCCTTTACTGCTCATTTACTCAAATTACTTAAGTGATTAATTGTGTTGCTTTAAATCAACTGTTAAGTAACTTTTAGAATTTTTTGTTACATTATTTAACGAGTGCTCAATTGATTTGCGTATAGTATTTAGATTAAGATTTTTTTTCAATTTTATATACTAATGTGAGACCTCAATTTTACATTTAGAACCGGTTTTTCAAATAATTATAGGTAGATTATATGGTATCCTTAAGGTATCATACCTTTGTCCACATGGACCAATCAGAATGATGTAAATGAATTATTTAAATCTAAATTAAAAATGATGTAATGATTTGAATTAATCAAGTGAGTGGTAGATACGGTACCCCATTTTTTAAATGGGTACTAGAGTTGTCACCATAATTATACACTTGAAGAAAATCAAAAAGGAATATCCGAATGAAGCGAACCAACCAATCACGTTCTGCTTAGGTGTAAATATGGTAATCCACAAGCTGCCCTAAAATCCATTTATATTTGCAGCCACCCATTTGTAATACACTTTCATTGCCCCCTCGGCAGCAGAAAATGGCAAGTTGTGGGTTTCAACAATCAGCATTCGCCGGAGACAGTGGGCTAAAGCCCCGGAATGAGTTCCTCCGCAAGATTGGCAGCTTCGGCCCGGCCCGTTTCACCATGAGACGCACCGTCAAAACTGCTCCCCAAAGCATATGGTAAATTCTAAACTCTCTAAAACGACTTAAGTAAGTTGCTGCCTTTACTGAGTTGCCACAAAAATTAAGATTAATCAAATTTACGGAGTCTTGTCTTGATTAAACAAAGAACATATTTAAGAATCCAAGTAAAAGTTTCGTTACCATTCATTTAGATTTTTACCTCGTCAAAACTTTGGTCCAATTGGGTTTCTAGTTTTACTGTGCAATTTCTAGTTTCGTTACCATTCAATCGGTTTATACGGAATATATAATAATCTATCGGGTAAAACGCCTCATATTAGTTCAGGGTAAGTACATATTTGTCACACATAAGTTTTTTTCTCTAACAGTTTGTAGTCGGTGGCGGACCCACTAAGGGTCCCACGGGGTCCCGGGACCCCATGGACCTACAAAAAAATACCTATATATATTTGTATATATTTTACATAAAATTAAGTAATCAGTGTATTTATACCATTGAAACTAATTTAAAACATAAATATGGAGTTAGAGCAACTATATGTGCAAGAGGTTGAGGGATCAATTCCTTTGAAAGTCCACTTTTTAGAAAATAAAATTATGGAACAACTTGGGGCACCTATTGTTATCATGCACCTCTATAGCCCAACTTTTAATCTAAATCTAATTTTCTCAACCTATACCCAATTCTTTTCATAACAAATACTATTATAAAGCCAGTATGTATCCCCAAATTTGAGCTTATCTGTTTTATAAACTAATTTCATCACGAAACACGTAATTTTTGAATTCACGCACTCAATTTGTAATAATTAAAATATTATGAAACAACTTGGGGCACCTATTGTTATCATGCACCTCTATAGCCTAACTTTTAATCTAAATCTAATTTTCTCAATCTATACCTAATTTTTTCCATAACAAATACTACTATAAAGCCAGTATGTATCCCCAAATTTGAGCTTATCTGTTTTATAAACTAATTTCATCATGAAACACGTGATTTTTGAATTCACGCACTCAATTTGTAATAATTAAAATATTATGAAACAACTTGGGGCACCTATTGTTATCATGCACCTCTATAGCCTAACTTTTAATCTAAATCTAATTTTCTCAACCTATACCTAATTTTTTCCATAACAAATACTACTATAAAGCCAGTATGTATCCCCAAATTTGAGCTTATCTGTTTTATAAACTAATTTCATCATGAAACACGTGATTTTTGAATTCACGCACTGAATTTGTAATAATTAAAATAAGCAAGTTAAAATCATTTCTTCGGCGAGATGACTGAAGTTACCGTAAGAGCATCATCTTAGCCACTTTTCATGTGTCTTTTTTTCATATCTTATAACATACTATCCTCCGTATCACATTATTTACAACATTGGAATACATTATTCATATACTTTACTTTGACTACATTTTATTTATTAATGTATGTGAATTATTTTTGAAAACTATTGTTAAATCCGTCTCATTATTAAGTCTTATAATCTGATTTTTATTTTATTTTTAGTAATACAGAATTAAATATAATGACGGTCAAAGTTGTGCGCTGGCAAACGTGAAATGTTGGCTGTTGCAACTAAAAAGAGACGGATGAAGTATAATTTAAATATCATTATTTCCTAATATAGCAGTTTCAGTCGCTTGAGCCATTATCGCATAGTTTGGCTTGATGTGATTTGATCTAAGACTAAAATCAGCCCAACAACAAAGTCCTTAAAGTTACACAAATAAATTGGTAATTGTATCAAATTAAAATAGAAACAAAGCTAACGAATATATTTTAAATAAAAATCCAAATAAAATAATGCGAAGTAATTGGATCGAAATTTTCAAGTGTAGGCTTTTTAAATTTGATTTCTCATATGCATGCCCATTATTTTTAGTTGATAGAGGACATTAACTTTATAAAATTTTAGTGCCCGTTTAGTGACTCTGTTTTCGGCTTATCAGACTTATCAACCAACTTTTTAACCAAACATGTAACTTTTGATTTTACGTGCTGAATTATGTAATAATAAGAAAAATAAGGTTGAAGTTACTTTTCAGGCTGTATTGACTGCAGTTGTTGTAGATGACCATTTTATCTATTTTTCATATCATTTCTTCTTTATTTTATTAATATAATATATTTTAAATATAATTTTTCATAATCAGCAGAAACCGTCAATACAACCACTTCAGTCAGAACTTCACAAATTTCAGCAGAATCAGCCGATTCAGCCGATTTCAGTGTTACCAAACGAGCTCTAGTTGATAGTAGACATTTCTTTAAAATTGTTGTATACGTGATGTTAACTACGATATGTTATGCTATTTTACTATTTTACTTCTTCTTTTTATTAATTTTTTATTAATTAGTTACATTACAGTACGGACCCCGTGATTCTGAGTTTCTGGGCCCGCCACTGTTTGTAGTGTTAATTCGTCCAAAAAGCTTCCACTTCAAACAGAACTAAATCAAACAATCGGTTTTTTATCAAACATCCACTACCTTTTTTATTTAAGATCTTTTCATTTACTAAGAGTTAAAAATTATTAAAAAGCTCATAAAAGTATTTTTCAGCTAATTGTGCCAAACATATCCTACAAATAATTTGGGATTAGGGAATATGTACTTTGTAATATTTTTAGTTGTTTTTTTATTTATGACATTATTATCCATTAGACATATGAATTTTATTATTCAGTAATCCCTTCGTATTTAAAAGTTTCTTAAACTTTTTTTTGGTGAGTTTTTCCTTTAAAAATATCCAATTATCCTTACTTTTTCTATTTTTTACCATCCTCTTTTCTATTTTTTCATATTCTCTCCGACTTTTTCTACACCATTGATTAGGCCTATTATTTCCGCCTTAAATATTGTGGCAAGAGATAATGTCATAATAATCTTTTAAAAGCGGACGAAGTATTATTTATTTTAATGATTAAATTTATGGTATTATTTGTTTTAATGATTAAATTTATGGTGAAACAAGTGTTACCACCGTATATGACCATGTGTCACGACAGGTATGGGCCGGACCGCCCAAAGTACTTGGGCCCATTCTCCGAACAAACTCCTTCATACCTCACCGGCGAGTTCCCCGGCGACTATGGTTGGGACACGGCTGGGCTTTCGGCCGACCCGGAGACCTTTGCCCGCAACCGTGAGCTGGAGGTGATCCACTGCCGTTGGGCCATGCTCGGCGCTCTAGGCTGCATCTTCCCGGAGATTCTATCAAAGAACGGTGTCAAATTCGGTGAGGCGGTTTGGTTCAAGGCCGGAGCCCAAATTTTCTCCGAAGGTGGACTGGACTACTTGGGCAACCCGAACCTTATCCATGCCCAGAGCATTCTTGCTATCTTGGGCGTCCAGGTGGTGCTTATGGGCTTGGTGGAAGGATACAGAGTTGGAGGCGGCCCACTTGGAGAGGGCCTGGACAAGGTGTACCCCGGTGGAGCGTTCGACCCACTGGGCCTTGCTGATGACCCGGAGGCATTCGCAGAGCTGAAAGTGAAGGAAATCAAGAATGGGCGGTTGGCAATGTTCTCGATGTTTGGGTTCTTTGTGCAGGCCATTGTTACTGGTAAGGGCCCAATAGAAAATATTTTCGACCACGTTGCTGACCCAGTTGCTAATAATGCGTGGGCCTATGCCACCAACTTTGTACCCGGCAAGTGAAACCTTATCCTAAATGGTACTGTATCTTTCTGGTTGTTTCAAGCTACCTTGCAGAAGTATTCCAAAAGTCAAATATATGTGTTAAGAATAAAGACTACATGCAATCGCATATATTTCGTGTTAATATCATTTGTAAAAGTTCTTATATTAAATTTAAGAAAAAACAATGATTTTCAGGTTTTAAAAGATGAGTAAATATCACATTGTGAGCATTTTTTTGCCTCATTTATATTGAAAGGTTAAGAATGGTAAGTAGGGAGTGTAGTTACACTAAGTCTGTTAGGTAATACTGAAATTAATTGAATCGACAAAACTTGATGAAGTGAATTGACTGAATTTGTTGAATTATGAAAAGTGGATTAGTTAGAATTTGTATTTGCAATGATGCTCTTGAATATCCAACTCTAATTTGATCAAGTTACTTTGTCATGAAATATTTGCGCAAGATTGGAAATTTTCAAAGGATAGTAATATATTGAGCTGCTTATGTGTAGCATACAGTTAGTGCGGACTGCGGAGCTTAACACACTTGATTAGATTGTTTAGGAATGTGAATGAATACTACTCCGTATAGATTCTATGGTACCCTTAAGGTACCATATCTTTGTCTACATGGACCAATCAGAATGTTGCAGTTGAATTATTTAAATTTAAATTAAAAATGATATAATGATTTGAACCAATCAAGTGAATGGTAGGTATGGTACCCCAATTTTTAGGTGGGTATCGGAGTTGTCACCTACTATATATTGGTTTCTATAGTTCATACTCCATATATAGTCTCCTATAGATTAATACGGATTGAGCCAATCATCTATTATGTCTCATAAGTCTATTTACGAAGAGTTGTTGTTGTTGTTGTTGTTGTTGTTGTTATTATTATCATCATCTAATTAATTAAGTATAGTGTACTTGTAACACACATTGATTTTTGATTCCTCTCTAAATGAGCTAGTATTATACTCCTTATTCGCAATTTATACCCTGCAACCGGCGCACCATGAGGATGGTGCGCCCGGTTGCAAAACCACACAGCTTTAGGTTGATTCCATTATTTTTTATTTCTTTTATTGTAAAAAATTGTAATAACTTTTTTATTTTATTTTTATTTTTATAAATTTTTATAAATTTTATATCAAATTTTTTTATTTTTCATGATCTATCAAATGAGACCAATATTGCTTATGTAATTTTAACAAATTATTTTGAAGTTACATTTGATAATATATCATGAAATTACATCTTCTTCTGCGCGAGTTACATCTTATTGTACGCGAGTTACATCTTAATATACGCGAGTTATATCTTAATGTATGTGAGTTACATCATGAAATAAACCCCTCCTACATCTTTCATTTTTATCATTTGAAAAATAGTGTATGAATATGAAATACAATATACTTATTCTATGTGGATTAATAAAATTTTGTATTAAATTGGCAAAGAAAAAAATTAATTCAATTATAATTGAACTAGTCTTTTACCCGTGCGTTGCACGGGATAACAAACTAACGAATTACCTACGAAGTTATCAAGTAGCAAGCATACATAAATAATTTCCATTAGCAATAAAATTAGTGACATCTCAGCATAATTGACATGCACAGCCACAATGGTAGAACTCCCTATATAAATCTTCATTTCCACATTTTCTCAAGAAAGAGAATACTCTAACTACAACAATGAATGAGTGTGAAGCTTGCCTCCTCCCATCAACATCCGATCGATCTAAAATGAACCCAATTTGACAATGACTTGCCCCAGACATAACATAATTGCAATTTTTTCTATTCAGAAAAATACACCAATTAAGCAAGTGCTTAGAGTCCTACCCAAAGCTGTTAGAGTTGATAATTCATGCATATTTTGCAGATCCAGAAACAACCTGAAAGAGAAATTTCATTTTGCATATAAGCACCTACAATCCAAATTTTGAAGGAAAAAATAATCTGAAAAGGTAGTCACAAACTTTGCACATCTATAGGTCGTGTATATGAACCACAATCAAGAGCATAATGCAAATTTACTCACAATGTTGCTATTAAGTTTCCCAGGCAATAAAAGAAATGCATCAAGGAAAGAAAATCCTATCTTCAGAAATTTCTAGAGAATACCATTATGTGAGCATCATATTGTTTTAGTGTTGCATGAAACTCCTATGATGATCTCATGTGATTGGCGAAAAACTCTCTCTAATCAAATAAAGGAAAGGTGTGGAGCCATGGGGTGCCTCTCGGTATGAATATTTTGCTCAAAGTTTCCAACTGATATGATCATCAAAACTTCTTCTCTGAACTGATGTCCTTTGAACAGATGGAAGCAAAAAAGGCTTCTAGTCTTTTCTAGAATACATTTTAATAGGCATGAAAAAAAAGTAACCAACAAAAACCCTATTGAGTATTTAAGTATACAAATTACCCAAAAAGCTATTGACTATACAAACTACCCTCGAGATGTTGTATGAAACTATTAAATGCGCAAATTTGGATTTGCTTTGCGATAGATTTAGTGGGTTTTCTATTATCAATGAACACCCGCATCAACAATTATGGTTTAAAGTCTTAGCCCAGGGATAGATAATATATAGGAAAAAGAACTATACGTAAAAGAAAGAAAGAAATGAGTATGGATTAAAGTACAAAAACTGCATTTTTACCTCGAAATAACGAATAAGGAAACTGAATGTTTACTTAATAAATTGGGAAGAAAGTTCTTTTTTATATTATGCTTTACTTGTGAGAGTTGTAGAAGAAAGAACCATAGACAACGGCTTAAACAATTAGAGAATAAAGAATTTGAGAATAGGAAGTTGGGAGAAGAGGAGGGTGAGGGGGGTTTGGAAGAGAGAAACTAATTACCATAGATTACATTTCAACTTTTAGTGTTGTCTGTCTTTTACCAGTACAAATGAATCTAAAATATAAACAGGTAAATGAACAAATGCCTTTTAAGAGTTTGTAAAAATATTTAGTTTGATAAGACCAGTTTTAAGTTCCATAACAAATTATTTAGACGGATTTCATGTAATTGCTAATAATGTATATATAGTGGTTGGTATTAGTTTAGACATTTATCTGAAGTAATAGTTCATATATAAATATTATTTGACAGAATAGAGCAACAACACACACATATCTGTTTCTATGTATACCACTGAATGACCACCAGATAGAGCAACAATGCCTTTAACATTCAGCCCTATTTGCTCTTCAAAAACCATCATGAGGCGATCCACCTGTAATATAGCAGTAGTTTAAAGCAAGACAAACATCAAAGGCTAACTACCAGAAAGATAAATAAATAAACACTATAAACATTTGTAGCAACAGGGAAGCTGTATAAACAAATAAACACAAACCCTTTGTAGCTTTACTCTTTATCTTTATTTCATAGGATGTGAAGAATGGAGACCACATCATTCTCAACGGGAAACCATTTGATACAGTTGCTACACAGTTTGAGATATCAGTGTTCAACTTCAAATCAACCTTTTCTTTTTGTAGCCAAATGATCCATTTCATTATTAGAAATTATTAAATAAATGAATAAAGATCATGATTGTTTTAAGAAAACGTTTTCACAAATTCGTTAAAGTAATCATGAATCTATGGTAGATGATTTTGAATTACTATGAATCTGATTTGCTATTGTTTATGAATATGTATCGCTTTTGCACTATTATATTTCTGAAATCTGTAGAACTCAATGAAGATGAGTAGAATATATGGCAAACAATGAGCAGATTTGAGACGTGAATAAGAGCAGCACAAAACCAAACTTCATGTTAGATATCTTTTCGGCCAGATCTCTAAAGGGCGATAGATTGAAACTATTTCTACTTTATCTCAAAAACATGTTAGATATACAAATAATTGTTCCACTTTATTTGCAGGACAATCTAAGTATCTCAAGTGAAAGCTTAAGAAAACAATTGATCAAGGATTAAGAAACTAAAAGCTTTAACTGAAGGCGTATCCAAGAAAAAAAAGAATTTTAAATCCTGAACTACAAAATAAAAAACTCTGGTTGAAAATGTATCTAGGAAATTTAATCATGTTATGATCGAAAGAAAGACCAGGAACACGTTAGAAAAATGTTTAAAAAGAACGAAACATGTTAGATTGAGTTGTCTATAGCTTTAAGTGGCTGCTGATGTTTGTTAAATTTTGCTTTATTGAGGAGCTTCTTTATGTGTTTCACTACTATCTACTTTCTGATTGTTTTAAACTGGATTTTATAAAGGGAAAAACATTACTTTATAATAAACATATATATAAACTAAACTAAACTGTATAACCATGTATTTTCACCCCTCAAATTAAACTTTTAGTTCTCATTACTTATCATAATTAAAGGAATAACTAAAAAAGAAGACTCTCTTCATTTTTTGGCATTGAGATACTCAAGTAATATATAGAAAAGAAAAAACTGGCAGCTTATCAGTAGGATTAAAAGGCAAACAACCCTCCATATGAGAGCTCCAATTCATAGTCCATCTTCAGCGAAAAGTCTAGCAATGAAGGTCTGTGCGAGAGCCCTAATTTCCCCAAACTCGAAAGCATACGCTAGTGTAAATAGGAAGAATAGGAAGTGTAGCTGTATTTACGCAAATATCCCTGCTCACGAGCGGGAAACCGACTTAAGTGAATTAATATATATATAGATATAGATTAGTTCAAGATAAAGATAAGTAAAAAAATCACAAATAATTAGATATAACTCACACATAATTACATGTAACTCGCGTATAAAAGTATGTAACTCGTGTATAACAAGATGTAACTCACACATAATTACATGTAACTCGCCCATAAAAGTATGTAACTCGTGTATAACAAGATGTAACTCACACATAATAAGATGTAACTAACACATAATAACTTGTAACTGGAGTATAAGATGATGTAACTTTGTATATTATCAGATGTAACTCCAAGCTAGAAGCAAAATAAACAAACTCAATATCTTAAAAACCTCTAAAAACATATAAAAGTGATAAAAAAATATATTATAGAAAAATTGTATGCATATAAAAACATATTACAAAAATGTATGAATATAAAAAATTAAAATTATATAGGCAATATTGGTCTCATTTGAAAGATCGTGAAAAATAAAAAAATTTGATATAAATTGTATAAAAATCTGATCAAAAATAAAAAAATTATTAACAATTTTAAGAAAATGAGAAATAAAAAATAACAAATGGTGCATGATGCTCACCATGCACCCAGGGGCGGATCTAGGAATGCAGAGTGGGGTGGGCTAAGCAGTAAAAGAATTTGTTGCTGCACACAAAAGGTTTAGCTTAAGACTGTTATCGAACCAAACTTTTTTTGAAGTATTGGAATTCGAGCGTGATTTCGAATTTAATTTAACAACCCGAGCTTATCGAACTTCAGACTCGAACACGGGCTAGATTTTTAGTTCAAATGGTTATTGAAGCCGAGTTTGAGCATAGTGATATTCAGTTCGGTCCGAACTCGAGCCTGTCGATAACTCATAAATTATAGGAATAA